CTTCCTTCCTTCCTTCCTTCCTTCCTTCCTTCCTTCCTTCCTTCCTCTTTCTCTCTCTTCCTTTCCTGTCTTTCTTTCTTTCTCTCAGTCTTTCTTTCACTCTCTCTTTTTCCTGTTTTTTCAGTTTTCACTTGTTTTGCTTCCTGTTTTATTTTTATTTCTTTCTCTCTCATTTTTTCTTTCCCTTTCATTCTTTCCAGTGAAGCACAAGTTGAACCGAGGGCTTGCTCACCTTTCCATCTGAGCTTCATGAACATCAGCTCTGAAGTCCGACTCCAAATCCACAGTGAGGACTGTGGTACTGTAAACCCTGTAAGAAATAGATGAGGATTGTAAATAAGCATTTCCCCACTACAGTACCACAAGCATACTCACCATTTGATATGCCTTGCAGAGTTGGTTCATGCCCACATCTTGACCTGTGGCTGATCTTTTTAGGCAGTGTAGAGTGAATATCCTAAGCAGGTGTTTCCAGATGTGATGTTCCATGGGGGTTCATGGGCAGGGCTGGGAGCAGGGCAAAGCCTCTGGTGCTCCAGCTCAGTGATGGGGTGAATCCCAGCACAGGAAACCCAGCAGGCAGAGTTGTCCTCTCCTACAAGTCCTCTCTGGACCAGAGTGTCCTCTGCAGCAAGGCCAAGGGCAGGTTATGCCCTTTCCAGCTGTGAGGCTTGAGAACAGATGGTGTCTTGTTCCTCTTTAACACCACCCTTGGCTTCCTTTCCAGTTTTCCTGAGTCACCTTTTTCACAAAAGGGATTGAAAGGAAGAGACTGGCTCGTCCATGGGGGCAGGTAGCTTTTCCCCTCCTGCCTGGCACATTGCTGTTGGAGAGTGTCTGGCTGGTGTTTCCACAGCATCTCTGTGCTGTAACGCCTCTGTGCTTCTTCTCTCCGGGGTTTTCCAATGCCAGTTATCTGTGCCAAGCAGGAGACAGGAGGTGAGCAGCTTTACTGACTGTCTGGGGGGAAAACAGTGCTGTGGCCTCGTTTTGTGTTGGGTGGATTCAGGCGTTGCTCCATAATGGATTAAAAGAATGCTTCCTTCCTTCTCTTCCTCCCCCTTCTTCTTTTTCCTCTCCTCCTCATTCTCCTCTGCTTCCTCTCCTTCGCTTCTCCTTTCCTTTTTTCCCTCTCATCTGCATTCTGCCTTCTCCACCCTTTCCTTCCTCTCCACCTTTTCCTTCTTTCCCTTCCTCTCTTCCCCTCTTTCCTTCCCCTCCTTCCTCTCCTTCTCCTGCCTTTCTCTCATTCTTTTCTCCCTTCCTCTCCTTCCTCCTACTCCACCTCTGTCACAACCATTACCCCATGCTGGTGCTGCTGCAGGATCCAGATGCTGCACAAATCCAGAGCAGCATTCCCAGCTCTGGCTGCCATGTCCACGACCCTTATGCCATGCCAGAGCTCTCTCTCCCTTGCCCTGCAGAGGCAGCTTTTGCAGAAGGGAGAAGCCCCAGAGTGTCCCAGCGGAGGGCTGTGGTGTGGGACCTCGGGAGCAATTTTGAAGGCTCCTCCTTTAGGGTCTCAGAGGTGTTTGTTACCAAGATCAGTCCCACTGTCACCCTCCAGTTGCTGCTAGGGTGTCTCAGGGCTTTGGGTGGCCAAAGAGGGCAGCAGCCCTGTATCTCCTGGTTTACACCCATGGGTACAAGAAAGGTGTGAAACTCCATCATCGTGCAGGTGCTTCCAGAGGGCTCTGTGCACAGGGACCCATTTTCAACAGCTTTAATCCACTGCAGGGTTGGCTGGGCTTGCATCCTCAGATGTTCAGGAGCTGCTTGGGGTGGTGTTTCATTTCATAAAACCCAAGTGCTGTGCCTGAAAAGACAGATTGCTGCCACAGCATAAACAAATCTATTGAGCCTGGGCAGCCAGCAAATTCACCATGTGCAACGTGTTTGTCTCTCCTCCCTTACTGTGCTTTGCTGTCCAGACTGAGAATGGCTTGAGCATTGAGGGAAAGTCCTGTGGGAGTGTCTGAAGGAACTGGGGGGCACAGCCTGGAGAAAAGGAGGCTCAGGGGGGATCTTGTGGCTCTGCACAACTCCCTGACAGAAGGGGACAGCCAGAGGGGTTGGGCTCTGCTCCGAGGAGCAGGGACAGGAGGAGAGGACATAGGCTGCACCAGGGAATGTTCAGGCTGGACATGAGGAATTTTTTCACACAAGGGGTGATTAAAAAATTGAAAGGGGCTGTCTAGGGAGATGTTGGAGTCCCCATCCCTGGAGGTGTACAAGGAGGGCCTGGATGTGGCACTGAGTGCTCTGGGCTGGTGACAATGTGGGGATCAGGCACAGCTTGGACTTGATGATCTTGGAGCTCTTTTTCAACTGAGATGGTTCTGTGATTCTCTGATTGCTGCCCTCTTGAAAGGGAGAGAGTGTAGATGTGTATTGGTGGCAGTGCCTGTTACTTAAAATGATGCCCACATGTGTCCCACAGAGTTGGGACTGGCATAAGAGGGCAGTAAAGCTTTGTCAGAACCTTTGGCATTCTGTCTGCCTCAATCCCCTGGAGCAGGAGTGAATCTCCTGTCCTCCAGGTGGTTTTGGAGGAGCTGTGTAACAAATGTGGATGTGTAAATCCCTTCTTACAGGTCCCTGAAGTTGTGGCAGTGGATAGGAATTAAAGGCTGTTTTTGTTGAGGGATTGATGAGCTGTGGCTGATGCTGCTCTTTTATACGCCTTTTCCATCCCCTAATGGGGAGGGTGCAGTGGCCACTGGCAAACTGAGTAAAAGCTCTGCAGAGCACCCAAGAAAGGCTGTGTCTGTGTGTGCGTGGGCTGCAGAGGGGGGAATGCACACCCACTGGGGGCTTAGCAGTGCTTAGAAATGGAAGTTCTCCTTTGGAAGCCTGCGTGAGCACCATTTCCCGGGAGTTGCCTAATTTAAATCATCTTTGCTCTGTTTTGTCCTATCCATTATTTTCAGCTGTCAACATTAAGTGCCACAAAGACCCTGTAATAGGCTTCTTTCTGCTTCCCTCTAATAATCCCAGAAACAGTCACTGGCCCCTTTGTCTGAGGCTCTGTGATGGCTCTCAATGTTCAATTTGCTGGAGAGGAACCACTTTGTGGAACAGTAGGACAATCAGTGAGGCAGTGGCTCAAGTGCTGCCATCCTCCCTTTGAAGAGGCTGGAGAGGAGCGAGATGGAATTGTGTTTTGCCCATCATGATTAATGACTTCTAAGAAAAGCTTCAGTGACAGCTCAACAAAAGTGATCCTGGCTTACAAAAATAGATGCATTTAATTTGCCCCAGAATTTGTTGGTGTTTAGAGTGATCCTTGGAGCTGAAGGAGAACAGTGAGATCTGGTGTTCAGGTCTGGCTTAGGACTCAGAGTCTGTGTCCAGCTGGAGGGTCCAAGCCTTATGTGTCAAGGCCAGGATGAAGTCCAGCAGAGGCGTTGCCAGATTTTCTTGGCTTTTTTAGGCATTGGTAGGATCCAGCGAAAGCTCTTTACACGTGAAAGATGAAACAGCAGGGTCCTGTCAATGCTGTGGATCTATCTTTGGCAGTCCTCAACTACACCAGCATTTCTTACATGTCCTCAGGGATGCCTGCTTTGGGCTGGGGGTGAACCAGGAGGCTTCTTGAGGGCTCTTCCACTACTTGGATGCTGCAGTCTTTATATCTTCCTTGGGGCTGTGT